AGCTCTGTTACTACAAGAAATAAGGCTTTCTTGCAAAGCACAAGTGGAAGCCTTGAGGTCATTTATGTGGCACTTGAGCCTTGACTCTGAAGCCCTGAGAGCATCTCTTTCCTTCGTCAGTTTGTCTAGTGTAAGTAGGACAAACCAACCACTTCCTTATACTTCTCATTCTGACAAAGCTGTAGAAAGATATCACACATGTGATCACCCTGAGCCTTGCATTTCACCAATACCTGATCTACTGGTGGTGATATTTTGTGTATTTGTATCACCACCTCACTCAATGGACTAGCAATGACCTCTTTACTTCTGGAAGCAGAGTCATCAACCTCTTTAAGACTAACCAGACTTGAGAACCAATTAGAAAACTCATCCTTACAATTTTGTTTCTCTAGAACCACTCTTGGTACCCAAATGTCTTAGGCTGGGTTCTCTAGAGAAGCAAAACCAGTAAAGTGTGTGTGTATATATATATATTTATATTTATTTATATATATATTTATACCAAGGAAACAGCTCATGTGATTGTAGAGGCTAGAATGTCCCAAGTCCATGGATCAGGGTAGAGGCCTCTCCCAAGTCACACAGCCACAGAAGCTGGCAAGCCCAAGATCGGCAAGTTGGAGAGCAGGGCTCCTGCTCACAGGCTGTGCAGATGGACGAATCCCAAGTTCGGCAGATAAACTGACAGCTCAAGTCCCAAGAAGTGGAGATGAGGTGACAGGAGGCAGCCACAGGCTCCAGAGAGAGCAAAAAGCCAGAACGTCTGCTTATATTCAGATGCAGGCCACACCCTCAAGGAGACTCCCTTTTATCTGACTGGTTACTCACAGTATATTCAATCATGGGGGTGATTACATTAAAACACTGAGAATCATGGCCCAGCCAAGTTGACACACAGTCTTAACCATCATACTGCTGATAGCAAAACGTGAAAGGAAAGAGATGAATTTGGGAATAAGATGTTAAGCAGTTAAGGAACCAGGACTTGAAGATTTGGAAAACTCTCAGCCTATCCACATTGTAAAAATTGAGAACTTGTGCTCTGGAGAGAACACCAAGGATGCAGTTGGACGTCTGTTTGATAAAGATGTTTGATAAAGGCATGTGACTTATGGATACAATCAACCATTTCAGCAGAAGGCTGCAAGCTTAGACTGAAGGGGGCAGAGACGGGATGAAATGAAGTAAGGCTGTCAGATTCCTGGCACTCTACAGTTGGGAAATGGGCTAATAGAGCTACTCAGTTGCAAACAACTATTATCCTTCAAGAAAAGGAAAAAATAACCCTGAAGGCAATTCAGAGGCCGGTGGGGCTGCCATTGCCACCATGGGCCCAGAGTGCATGGGTTTCAGAGATAGGGGCCACGTTCTTGGTCCCAGGGGATGAGACTGCCACGATGGTAAGCCAAAGGGGTGGACCACTGACTGGGACTGGAGAACAGAGTATCTAGCTGTGATAGTTAAGGTTGTGTGTCTACTTGGCTGGGCAATGATACTCAGTGGTTTGATTGTTGTATGATGGTGCAATCACTTCCAGGATGAGATTTGATGCTATGTGATCACCTCCATGATGGGATCTGCTGTGAGTAGTCAATCACTTGAAAGGGAGTTTCCTTGGGTGTGTGGCCTGCATTGAATATAAGTGGATATTCTGGCAAGGCTGGTGGGCTTTTGTTCCTTCTGGATCCTGCAGCTGGCTCTTGTTCATCTGATGTCTGGTTCTTGGGACTTGAGCTAGCAGCTTACCTGCAGTCTTGCCTGCTGATCTTTGGGATTCGTTGATCTTCGCAGCCTGTGAACAAGAGCCCTGCTCTCTGACCTGCTAATCTTGGGTTCGCTGGCCCCGGTGGCTACGTGCATCAGAAGAAGCCTCTATTCTGACCCACAGACTTGGGATGTTCCAGCCTCTATAATCATGTGAGCCATTTTCTTGATATAAATCTCTCCCTCTATATAAATTTATATGCTTTACTGGTTTTGCTTCTCTAGAGAACCTAGCCTAAGATGCTAGTCAAAGAGGACTATTCTAAGGCCTTGAAATCTAATGAAATTTGCACTTCTATGTTTCAGACTTGCTTGGGATCTGTGACCACCTCCCTTTTTTCCCCCTCCAATTTCTCCCTTTTGAAATGCATAGACATGCTGAAAAAGTCCCTGGATGGTACAAACAGTTAAGTGAGCAGCTACTAACTAAAAGGTTGGTAGTTCTAACCCACCCAGAGGCTCCTCAGAAGAAAGGCCTGACAATCTGCTTCTGAAAGGTCATAGTTATGAAAACCCTATGGAGCACAGTTCTACTCTGCAACACATGGGGTCACCATGAGTTGGAATCGACTTGATGGCTAGTGGTTCTGGGTTAGACATGCTGAAAGTTTATAAGGTGGTTCTTTAGCCCACTGAAACTTGGAGTCACTGAAGTAAAGCTGTCTTTTGCCAACTACCTGTAACGTGATGGTGGAATACCTTGGGAAGGTAAAGGGCCCATCAATCCTTCATACTTAGCATGAATTAATTTAATTAGTACCTTTCATAGCACCTAGATGAATGAACATTGTTTTAAAGTGGATGAAAGAAAGGAGGAAAAAGGTAGGAGGTTATGGAAAGGGAGGTAAGAAGAATAGGCCTCAGGATAGATGCTGTGGAAATGAAGAGGCCTAGGTTTTATAGAGCAAACAGATGTAAGCACAGGTACAGGTTCATGTTGTTTCAGAGTTTGAGCTGGTTTCATGGTTTAAATTTACACCCTTTTTTTGTGTTGAAGTTAGATGGGTTCCTGGCAGTAGCTCTGTACCACAAAAATCACTTGAAGGTACCACAAAGTGATTAGTTCTGTTTTATTGGTGAACTTAACAGTCATACATATAATCTGAGTTGTTACATTTTATGGATGAACTTACATATAACCCCAACATGTCATCTGTTCTAACAGCAACCATATGGCACACTGAATTAAATGCTGCACAAAAGACTTGCCAGTGACCATTAGAGTCTGTCTAAAATGCTATTATTCAAATGCCTAGATGACAATTTAAAAACATTAGCAATTTCAAGCTTAACAAATTATTGTAGACTCTGTGTTACCTTACTCCTCCTCTCCCATAACATGTATCCTTCCTGATATTATGGTCTTCCTGCATAGCATAGTGCAATTCTTATACCCATATTAATATATTTTTACATTTCTGAATTTTGAGTCTTTCCAGGCCCTTGTTTTACATCTTACTGCTATTTAAAATTGGGCCATCATGACATCACACATCCAAATGAGTGAAAAGTATGTTAGCAAATGAAAGAACACCTTTACCTTGTCCTTCATTCTCCAAGGAGCTGTCCATACTTGCTCTTAGACTGCCCTGTACTTGAGTTCTCTGTCTACAGCTACTTTTAAATATTCTCTTTTTCTTCCAAGTGAGACCAGGATAGGTCATAGGGGGAAAACTGACAATAATTTCTTTCTTTTGTTTAAGATACATTTCAAGAGCCATTCCTGGTGCTGTTTTAATTCAGCAACATTGATTTGTGTGTCTGCTCCTAGTTATTATAGAAGATGGGGCAGACACAAATGCAGTGAATGTTTTATATCTTCTCAGAACTCAGTCTATTTGAGGAGAAAGCGAGCGGAAATTTTGACTGTAATAAATGACAGACCATGACAAGTGCTATAACAGAGAGGTTATAACAATACTAGGGAAGAGTAGTGAAGTTCTGCCTGGGCAAATCAGGGCAGACTTCTTAGAGGAGAAAGAGTTTGATATTGTTTTGAAGGAAGCATAAATCTTCACTTGGCCAATATGGAGAGCAGGAAGTGTATTCCAGATAGAGGCGAGAGCTTAAGCAAAAGAGTGGCAGGCAAGTATAGCGTATGCTCAAGAAATGGCAGTAATCAGTGAGGCTTGGAGAGGAAAAGGGTAAAGGTGTCTTGGGAAATTAGATATTTTGGGTCCAGACTGTGTTGGACTTCGAATTCTTATTCTACATTTGTTGGAGAATACCACAGATTCTGTGTTATGCAAGGATGATTTTGGTTGTAGTGTGGATGAGAAAGAATAATACAAAAGACTAGTTAGGAATTTAGAGACACACTGTAAAGGTGGAGTGGACAGGATTTGATGTATTTGCACATGAGGAGGGTGAGGGACAGGAAAGAAGCATAAATGATTTAAAATTTTCAAGTTAAGTCCTTGATAATAGTAATGCCATGTGCAAGCGGAGAAACCTGCCTGTCTAGAGTTCTAAAGGCTTAGGGGTAAAGAGAATGAGAAACAGGTGCTGGGGTACCATTATGCTATTTTTTTCCTTTCAAGTTTTCTGCCATAATATACTTCCTAGGAGGTGGACAGAACCCTGGTGGCACAGTGGTTAAGAACTCAGCTGCCAACCAAAAGGTTGGCAGTTCAAATCTCCCAGCCACTCCTTGGAAATCCTATGGGGCAGTTCTACTCTCTCCTATAGAGTCACTATGAGTTGGAATTGACTCTATAGCAACAGGTTTGGTTAAGAGTTGGGCACATTCTCATTCTATTCAACATTTGATAAGGCATTTTTTCATTTCATAGGCAAGTCAGAGGTAGAAGAGAGATATATCCATTTATTTCTAAACAAATAATATAAAAAAATTGGAACCAATCTAATGAGATGAAAAGATTATGGATCTAAAGAGTTCAGAACTTTTCTCCAAATAGAATTAGGTTCAATTCAGTTTAAATCACCAATCATTTATTGATCATTAGCCACATACAGAAGTAGCTGAAAAGAGTGGTAGCAATGGTGATATAGGTGGTTCTTGAGCCTTTATTTACTCATTTTCATTTGCAGCTCCTTGAACTGCTGTTAGCCTCTTCAGAGCAGACTTCATATCCTGATTCCTCAGAGTATAGATGAGGGGGTTCAGTAATGCAGTAACAACAATGTAAAACACAGCCACCGCTCCCTCTAGGGGACTCTTGGAGCCAGCCCGAAGGTAGATGAAAATACAGGGAACATAGTAGACAGTGACCACAGTTAGGTGGGAGCCACACGTGGAGAAGGCCCTGCGCTGCCCATTGGCGGTGCGTATCTTCAGGATGGCATGGACTATGTTGGCATAGGAGAGCAGAATTAACATGAAGAAGCTGGCGGCCACTACTCCCATGTCCACAAAGGTCACGAGCTGGTTGACAGTTGTGTCAGCACAGGCCAGTCTCAACACTGCTGGGATGTCACAGAAAAAGTAATCCACCCGGTTGGGCCCACAGTAGTGCAGGTGGAAAGTCAGGGTGGCCTGGATAGATCCATGGATGGAGTCAGCTACCCAAGCTCCAGCCACAAGGATAGTGCATAATCTCCCATTCATGAGCACAGGGTAGTTCAGGGGCTGGCATATTGCCAGGTACCTGTCATAGGCCATCAAGGTGTAGAGGAAGCATTCGGTGCTGCCTAGAATGTGAAAGAAATACAACTGAGCCACACAGCCACCATATGGGATAGCCTTGCTGGCAGGAGCAAAATCCAAAATAAGTCTAGGAACGATGACCGAGGAAAGCCACATGTCCAGGAATGAGAGCATGCCCAGAAGGATGTACATAGGGAGTGCATGGAGCTTTGGGTCAGCCCACATGGTGAGCAGAATGAGCAGGTTCCCCAGCTGAGTCAGGATGTAAATGATGAAGAAGACCAGGAATAGGAGGATCCTCAGATTCGGGGGGGTGAGACAAGCCCAGGAGAATGAAATCTGTGACCAACGTGTCCAGGGATGTGTTGTTGGTCTTGCTCATGTCTTTCTGTGGTCTGCTAAGATGAATGGTGAAGACAGACAAGAAGAACACTGCCCAGTGAGGTTGTAGGAGAATGCTTTTGTCTGATGATTAATGCCTAATGGTAATAACACAAACAGAATACGATTTAGAAAAATTTTTAAAAAGAAGAGATGGTGTTACCAGTAATTATTTAAGATTACTTGATAAGAGAAACACTCCAGGCTAGTTTCCTAGATGGATGGCAACTATTATCCATTGGGAGATACTGAGAAGAAGGGTTTGGCAGACCAAGGAACAGGAAAATGTATGAATGAAAGGGGCTAAGGTTGATATGGAGCAGAGTGGAACATGTACTCCACAATCACCATACCTACTTTTTCATCTACTTGCCATCATTGCAATGCCTCCTCATTGCCCTCAGCTAAAATATCTCCTCACCATTGTTGTTAGGTGCTGTTTAGTCGGTTCTGACTCATAGCGACCCTACATACAGCAGAACAAAACACTGCCTGTTCCTGTGCCATCCTGACAATCGTTGCCATTATTTGAGCTCACTGTTGCAGCCACTGTGTCAATTCACCTCGTCGAGGGTCTTCCTCTTTTTCGCTGACCCTCTACCTTACCAAGCATGATGTACTTCTCCAAGGACTGGTCCCTCCTGATAACATATCCAAAGTATGTGAGATGAAGTCCACCATCCTTGCTTCCAAGGAGGACTCTAGCTTTACTTCTTCCAAGACAGACTTTTTCCTTCTTCTGGCAGTCCATGGTATATTCAATAAACATACCTAACAAAGTATGCAAAATATCCATAATCTGTTCCTTATTTACCACCCCATCCCATCCATTTACAATTCCTTCTTAGTCTTCAGATGCACAAGACTCCTCAGAGCTCTCTCACAGTAGCGTGTTCTAACATGGGACCTACGCCCAGGCTGCCTTCTTTCCTTCCTTACCTAGTTAACGTCCCTTTTCCTTCAGGACTCATTATGGGAGTCCTCATCTTCAAGAATGCTTTCCAAAGGACCATGCTTACATTTTTCAAAACATGTGTCATGTTATATTGCCATGTATCTCTAATTTATTTGACTCACCCATTAGTCATTCCTCTAGCACAGTGAACGGCACTGTACAAATGATTAATAATTATTTACTGACTGACCCAATGCTGCCAAATCCCACTGACCTGGCAGTGTTTTTCTGCTTGATCTTGTTCCTCTGATCCTTGTGCCTACTTGGCTGGGACTTTTAGGGCAAGGGATCATCTTATTCCATATGTAACATGTGTTTAGTTTCATTATAAGAAACTCCAAGGTGCATTCATGCTTTTTGTTCCAGGATATCATTTAGATTTGTTGGTTGATTTATGTCATCCATGGTTTGGGATTGGATTTTTTGTATGGGGTTACAGAGGAATTTTTATTATTTATTATAAAGACATTGACTAATGCAGGACCTGATGTTATCTATATCTACCTATCTTTTTCTTTTGTTTGCAGTCTACCATACAGCAAATCTCTCTAAAGACCTTTAATGATTTTCAAGTACCTGAACCAAACATGAAGAGATAGAAAAGTGAAGTGTGTTTCACTCCTTTTGGTGAGTAGGTTGTTTAGTAAAGATATTTCCCCACCATACTAGGATCTGAGATGCATTCATTTGTCATTTAACCATAATGTTTATCTTTGTAATTAAATGATTATTTTTAGAAAATAATTAAAGTATTTACAGGTTAGTTTTAAATAACGTATGAGTTTAATCTCCATCAGAAGACTCCCCAGAGATTCTATCTTAGTTATTTTTTAAAAATAATTTAATTCATATGGTAACATTAAGGAGCTAATAATAATATAATAATAATAATACTGAATATACCTGGATCTTCTGGTCCATAGAAAATGTTAAATATGCCCTCTGCCTACCAATAAAGAAGAAATACTAGATTTTTATTGCCTGAGTTTCAGGAAGATCACTTTGATTTATTTGGAAATGGATGGGAAGACTAGTTCTTTTTTCTTTGGCTAGAATAGAGAAAAGGCAGAGATAGTTAGAATTAAAAAACAAAAACAAAAACAAAAACAAAAACAATCAAAAACCAAACCTGATGCAGTCGAGCGATTCTGACTCATAGCGACCCTATAGGACAGAGTAGAACTGCCCCATAGAGTTTCGACGGAGCGCCTAATGGACTAGAGCTGCCAGCCGTTTCAGTTAGCAGCTGTAGCTCTTAACCACTATACCACCAGGGTTTCCAGTTAGAGTTAAGATTACACATAAAAACTAGTTATAAGCCAAATTTATTTATTGTCAATAGAGACAATACCAGTGTGCCACTTGGACAGATTCCCTGGGTGGTGCAAACTGTTAATGTGCTCACTGCTAACTGAAAGGTTGGCAGTTTGAACCCACCCAGAGGCAGCTTGGAAGAAAGGCCTGGTTATCTACTTCCAAAAAATCAGCCACTGGAAACTCGTGGAGCACAATTCTTCTCTGACACACATAGGGTCACCATCAGTCAGAACTGATTTTGCAGAAGCTGGTGCCACTTAAGCAAATAATATATTTCTGAAACATTTTATGAAAAGCAGTTTTCATATACCAAATCAGATAGAACTGTACCACCGAGGGAATTATTTGAAGGATTCCCATAATGCTTATTTATGTATAGTAAAAATACTCTCCCTAATTTATATGCTTTGCCACTCTGACTTTCCCAGTTTGTTGTGCACAAATCTGGTTTCACTTCTCCCAAGTGCTCTGTTGGAAGAAGACAGCTTTTACTTGTTTAGGTTTTGGGTGCCTGCCTGGTAAGGCCCAGGAGACCAAGGTAGGTTACAGCTGGTGGTTTGCAGACAGCCTCAGCAGAGGAGGGTGGTTTTGACTTGGAGTGTGTTGTTCAGGGGAGAGATGGGCAGTCTGTGGTGAGAGGGGGGAGCTGAGCAGATTTCCAGAAGGTGGATTATTGGAGGAATAGGGAGCATGTTTGCAGAAGGAATAGATTTTTTGATGAAAGAGGAGAACAGTCTGGGGCCAACTTAAAGAAACAAAAGAAGAGGTCACACTTGAGAGTCCCTTCTCCCTCTCCTCCGCTCCCCCACTATCTCTGGCTTTTCGTCATATTTTGTTTTAAGTCTGCTCCTCATGTTTAGCTGTTGAGACAGGATATTTAAGGGAGGAAAGGGACAAACTTAAAAGAGTTTCAAAAAACTAAAAACAATTTTAGTATACCTACTCTGGTTAATTAAATAACCAAAAATACTCTAAAACTTCCCAGGTTTTAGATTGTATTTGGTGTGGCTAAGATAATCTCGTAAAATGGTTACTTTATATAATAAAAGCACATACCAGCAAAATGTTAAAATTCAATATAAAAGCCATTTGAAAATAACAGCTTAGTGACATTAGCGAGTAAACAACACATTTGAAAGAAGTTATCCTGGAAGCTCTAGGGAAAGACTCTGGGGATGAGGCAGTAGAGTGGCATTGAGAAGGTGAGGAAAGGGAGGACTAAGTACATCTTCACAGGAACTCTGTGGAGCCAGGCATGGGCCAGTTAGGTGTGAGTGTGTCTCTTGCAGTACTTCTCCTTTGGAGAGGCTCAGAGGAGGATAGGCCTCTATGCAGCATTTTGAAAATTTGTTTGGAATTCTGCAGTGAACTTTGGGATCTGAGCCATTAGAAAACAGTTACGAAATCCTGAAGATGAAGGATGGTGTCTGGTCCAGTGTTGAGCTGGACATATTGGCATCAAAGGGCTTCTGTTACCTTTGGGACCAGACTCAACTAAAATCTGTTTCTGGGAAGATTCACATCTCTGGCTGCTAACTGGAAGGTTGGAGTTTCGAGTCTACCCAGAGGCACATTAGAAGAAACGCATGGTAATCTACTCTGAAAAATCAGTTAGTGAAAATTCTATGGAGCACAGTTCTACTCTGACACACAGGGGGTCACCATAAATTGGAACTGACTCCACGGTGACTGGTTTTAATTATTCATTCACTTACAGTCAGACATTCTGGTATAGAGCCGGCAGTGTAGGGGAAAGGGATAGAGTTTAGGGGTGGTATAGACATATTTCATCTATGCCCAAAAGAGTAGATCTTGTCTGTCCTTCCACAAATAGTTAAACAAAAATGAGCTTGCTTAAGGAAAGGTACTTTAAATGGCAGATCTTCCAACCCTAGAGTCAGTCAAGCAAGTGTCCTCTTTCATGGAGAAAGGAAAAGCTGGGGATCTGGGCTGTGTTTTTGCACAACTACTAAAGAATCTTCTTCACAGCCTGTATGACTTTATTGATGCCTGACTCCACCCATTTAAAAAAAAGAGAGAGAAAATGAAAAAAGAATAGTGTAAAGATTCTTTTTTGAATCATTAAAAAAAAAATTCCCATGTTCGAAAAAAGGAACTTAAATCTCAGCAGTTGGGAAGGAGTTGAATAAGACGGAGAAATGAGACTGATTAAATCAATATTTGGAAAAAAAAATAAGAGAAAAACCTTAAAGCTTCAAAATTAGGTCTGTGGATTTAATTTGAATCATCTGGTTTTGGGATTGCTTTTCCATCCTCTTAGACTCACATGTAGAAAGCTGCAGAGTTGTGGTGGAGGCTTGCTGTCTTCTGGTGGAATGGTCTGACAGACAAAGAGATGTCCTTCACAGATTAAGTCTGGCCCCTTGTCAAGGGTTGCCATATCTCAGCTTTGGGAAGGCTTTAGAATTTTTCCAGGACTCTGCCATGGCAAATAAGTATTCAGAATCTCTGAAAGCACCTGCCTTTCAGGGCTCTTTGATGAACGTGACTTCTGTCATCTCTTGACTCATATTTTACATCAGTTTTCATCAGCTGTTGCCTTATTGTTCTGACTGAAAGAAACAAAAACAAACACTGTCAAGAGATTTGAAGAAAAAGTCTAATCTTGGGGAAATCCTACTCTGAAGTGTCTCCCTAATGAGATCTTCTCTCCCCAAATCCTCATTATTTTGTTCTGAGAGAGAACAGGAAACATTTCTGGTAGATTTATGGGAAAGGTGACTCTGGGAAATAACCTAGTTAGTATAGTCTTGAATGATCTCTAATTTCTTAGAAGTGGTTATGAGGTCTCAACTGATCACTTTCTGTCTTAGTCATTTAGTGCTGCTATAACAGAAATATCACAACTGGATGACTTTGACAAACAGAAGTTTTTTCTCTCACAGTCTAGTAGGCCAGAAGTCCAAATTCAGGGCATCAGCTCCAGGGTAAGGCTTTCTGTCTCTGTTGGCTCTGGAGGAAGTTCCTTGTCATCAATCTTCCCCTGGTCTACGAGCTTCTCAGCGCAGGGACCCCAGGTCCAAAGGACTCTCTATGCTCCCGGTGCTTATTTCTTGGTGGTATGAGGTCCCCCCGTCTCTCTGCTAGCTTTTCTCTTTTATATCTCAAAAGAGATTGGCTCAAGACACAATCCAATCTTGTAGATTGACTCCTGCCTCATTAACATAACTGCCACTAATCCCATCTCATCAACGTCATAGAGATAGGATTTACAACACATGGGAAAATCACATCAGATGGCAAAATGGTGGACAATCACAAAATACTGAGAATCATGGCCTGGCCATGTTGACAGATATGTTGGGAGGACACAATTCAATCCATGACACCTTCCCTCCCGGAATACCCATCAGGCTTCTTCCCTCATTTCCTTCTGGTTTCTGCTCAAATGTCACCTAATCAGTGAGGTCTCTCCTGACCCTCCCCCTTCTTGTTCCCTGTTTTATTTTTCTCAGTAGCACTTATCACCACCTGACATACTATATTTACTTGTTTATTGTCTGTCTTCCTTCACTAGAATGCAGGCTCCATGAGAGAAAAGAGTTTTGCTCACTCTGGAATCCCCAGCACACAGGTTCTCAATAAATAATTTTTGAATGAATGAATAGGAGAATGATGTGAGACATATTAAATACTGTGGACAGAAAGAAGGCAGTGGTTTCAAATACAAATCTCAGATTTAAAGTCATGAGTTGATTAGGAGTCCCTGGGTGGCACAAACGGTTAATCTGCTTCTGAAAGCTTTCAACCTTGAAAACCCTATGGAGCATTTCTATTCTGCACACGTGGGGTCGCCATGACTAGATTAGACTGGATGGTAACTAACAACAACAGCAAGGAGTTGGTTTGCTATCAAATTGATTCTCACAAGCATGTGCAGATCCAGGCAGATCTATATGCTAGGCCAAGTAGTTTTGGGTATCCACTTGCTTATTTTACAAAGGTTAATATTAATCTAAGCAATAGTGGGGACCTGGCTAGACATGGGAGCCCTGGTGCACAGTGGTTAAGAGCTCAGGCTGCTAAACAAAATGTCAGCAGTTCAAATCTGCCAGCAGCTCCTTGGAAACCCTTCGGGGCAGTTCTACTCTGTCCTATAGTGTCACTGTGAGTCGGAATCAACTGGATGGCAACAGGACCAAACTTCTGACTCATAGTGACCCCACAGAGTTCCCGAGGCTGTAAATCTCTATGGAAGCAGACTGCCACATCTTTCTCCCAGGCAGCCTCTGGTGGCTTCGAACTGCTGACTTTTCAGTTAGCAGTGGATCTCTTTAACCACTGTGCCACCTAGATACAAAGAAATGAAACCTGGAGTGTGATATAAGCTTCAGCATCCTCTGCTGTAAAATGATTGAACTGGACAAATACTGGATCATTTCTAACATTGCTTTTAATTCTAAATTACTAAGGAATAAAATGTTTGGAGTTTGGTGTTTGTGTGCGTGTGTATAAAGTTGCGATGCTACATCTGGCCACAAGATGACAGTATCATCTTTACTAAAACCAAGTACTGTATTCTGCTACTCAGAGTAAATAGAAGTAATAAATCCAGTGGCTTCAAGATGAATATAAATTCCTTTAGTGAAGTTAATATATATGAGGGGTCCAGAAGTTTGGGAAAACTGTGTCAAAAAATGTTAATTTCCTGTGACACTTGGGAAATAGTTTGAAATACAGCTCCTTCCTTCCTTCTCCCCCCTTCTTCTTTCTCTCCTTCCCTCTTAGTATACTTCCTTTTTTCTTCCCTTCTTTTTCTTTCTTTCAAGTTCTCACTTAACTTACACATAAAAAATACTGTAAGTCAAAACAGAGATGTATAAGAAAAGGTTAATATTCTCACTACCCTTCTTTTAATCCCAACCCTCTGAAGTAACTAAGTTTTCTTTATTTTTCCATTTCTTCATCTATATGCATATATATGTATATATACATATAAACATAT